AATGCACCATTCATTTCTTCCCCTTCCTCTTTCCTAACAGAACCTTCTCTTTCTCTTTAATCTTCCTCAGGGGACCACCCTCACCCTAATGCCAAAGCAGGACCAGTAATATCAGTGCATGGCATTCTCCTGCAAGGCTATGACTCAAGATGGACCAGTCAGAGCAAGAGGAGGGTTTATGTTCCTTAGCTGGACAAATATTTTTCTCTTTCACCTGCTATATGTGAACAAGGAGGCATATCACCCTGACTGTGACTGCAGCCATCTTGTGACCATGAGGCACACTTCCAAGGTGAAGCAAGCGCTGTGGGCAGCAGAGTGGAGAGGTGAAAAGATCCAGGATCCGTGACATCAAGTACATCTGCTTAGTCAACCTAGAAACCTCTCCACCTGGCCACTTCCTTTATGTGCAAGAAGAGATTTCCCTTTTCATTTGAGTCTTCAAACTGAGTTTTCTGTTTCTTATTAGCAGAAAGTATTCTAATTGATTTGTTTGTTCCCCTCACCCCCAAGCCCGTTTCTCTAAGGGCAGCATTTCTCAAACAACCCTTTGGTCTCAGGAATCCTTTTCTCTCTTAAGAACCTTGACAACTTCAAAGATCTTCTATTTTTGTGGGTTCTACATACTAATACTTACTGTATTAAAAATTATGATGGAGAAGTCTTTAAAATATTTTAAAATTTATTCAAAAGCAGAAATAATCGACACAGTAACATGCTAACATCAATAGGATGTTTTTATGAAAAATAACTGTTTCCAAAACAAAAACATTAGAAGCATGGCTTTATTTAACTTTTTTTTTTTTTTTTTACAAATTTCTTTTATATCTGGCTCAATAGAAAATAGCTGGATTCTTGATCCTGCTTAGTTTTCCAGATCAGAGGAGATCTGCCATGTTCAGGGTGTATGGCTGTAGACTGGATTCTCATATCTAACTTCTGCACTCAATCTAATTTTTGTTTTGGTTGAAGATTCCAGCCACACAGAGTCTAAAGTCAGGAAAAGGAGGAAAACTTTTTTTTTTTTTTTTTTTTGAGTTGGAGTCTCACTCTGTCACCTAGATTGGAGTGCAGTGGACATTCCCGGTCACTGCAGCCTCGACCTACTGGGCTCCAGCGATCCTTCCGCCTCAGCTTTCCAAGTAGTTGGAACTACAGGCGCGCGCTACTATGCCCGGCTAATATTTTGATTTATTGTAGAGATGAGGTCTCGTCAAGTTGCCCAGGCGGGTCTCAAACCTGCGGGCTCAGGCAATGCACTCACCTCAGCCTCCCAAGGCGTGGGATTGCAGGTTGAGCCACCGAGCCCGGCTGAAGGAAAACTTTAACAGTCTTTTCAGATAGTTGTGGACATTCTTCTTTGGTACTACACCAAAACTTGCATGTAGTATTTTCTTAAAGGTTAACTGCAGTGGGCAACATAAAACAACAGCAATGGATGTTTTGCACTTTGTTTCAACAAAATCTATCAATCTGTCCTATTCTTTAAATGTGTCTTTCACGCATGAATGATTTTGTAACACTGTGCATTGGTCATTTGGAAAAATTTATGCAGCTCTTCTGAATTTTGGCATATTCCATTATACAATATTAAAAACTCATGTTTTTTTAAGATCACCATCAAGCTCACTAGAAAAGTTTTGAAGTACTGGCAAGCTGTCAAGTTCAGGGCAAAAGCATCCTAATTGACAAGTTCTTAAAAATTCTAACTTTAGCTTGAAGGATTGAATTTTATCATTGGTTATGATACTGTCAGTTGGTATTCTTGAAGTGACAGGCTTCTTTTGTTCATTTTTGAGAAAACGCCTGTCAAAAACCAAGTCTGAAGTTTGTCAGTCATTCTTTTGATTAAAAAGGGTATTCCAGCTGGGCTCGGTGGCTCAGCCTGTAATCCCACGCCTTGGGAGCCTGAGGTGAGTGGATTGTCTGAGCCCGCGGGTTCGAGACCCGCCTGGGCAACTTGGCAAGACCTCATCTCTACAATAAATCAAAAAATTAGCCGGGCATGGTAGCGCGCGCCAGTGGTTCCAGCTACTAGGAAGGCTGACGTGGAAGGATCGCCAGAGCCCAGCAGGTCGAGGTTGCGGTGGCCGGGAGCGGCCACTGCACTTCAGTCTGGGCGACAGAGTGAGACTCCTACTCAAAAAAAATAAAGGGTATTCTATGAAAAAAAATGGCTAGTTGTTTGCAGCTCTAAGGACTGTACATGTACCTTTTCTGGAGACAATCATTGTGCTTAAGTGTACAGCAAAAGTGAGTTATTCATACTTCCCATTCTGTCCCATATAATACTAACATGTTCTCAAGGTTCAAAATTTAATAATTTTATGGCTACCTGAAGGGAATTCTGAAGCGAAACTCCTTTTCTACCTATATTTCATGGTTATGAAGAATTCAAACACTATGAGTATAGTTTGCCTCTATTCGTGCTAAGGCACCACTGGTTTCCCTCACTATTGTTTTCACGTATCAGTGCAAATGTCAGCATAGTGAAAAAGGGCAAATTACATCTTAGTATCATTTTGAAATGAGGTTTCACTTTGAAGATTCCCCGAACAGTTCTCAGGAACCCCAGGGGTCCACAGTCCCCACTTTTAGAATTTATGCTCTAGCTTACAGTTGATTCTGGAAGCACCACAACGTGCTTCCAACAAAATCTCTTTTCTTGAAATCAGCCAGAGTTGCTTTTGTTGCCTGGTACCAGTGCTCTGCGTTGAAAATATCATTGCTTATTTGAATCGAAATGTTTAAGAAACTCGTATTGAGGGCAATTTATAAGTAAGCAAATAATCAGAAAGAATGAAAGATTTTGAAGTTTCACGTGACTAAAAAAAAATCTAACATTTATGTTTCTACCTTCTTGGTGTGAAGTCAGTGTTAAACAATCAGGCAAGTTTACGTCAGTCCAAGAATTGTGGCAAAAGAAGGAAAATGGCACTGATATTTTTTCCCTTCTGTGAATGCCCCCACCCCGTGACCTTATTGATCTGGGCATTATTGTCCTTATTTTACATACTGAAAAAACTGGTATTCAGTGGCCAAGTCTACTCAGTGGTCAAATCTTTCATCCTGGTTGAGAGGCTCCAAAGTCCAGGACCTCTTTGCTCTACCATGCAGGAATTTCTGTTAAGTACAAAAATACGAGGATGTGATGTCAGAGGTTTATGCCTTAGAGAACAGTGCTCCAAAATCATAGACATCAGAGAAAATGCTGACTCTATTCAAAGTATATGATAATGCTGACTCTACTAATGTAATATTTTTAACATTCCATAAGATGGCATTTCAGAATTGGAAGAGACCTAAATAGTGTGATCTATCCATTTCTCTTAGCACCGGCGCATTCTTGCATATTCAACATGCATTTCAAATAGCACCTGCTGGGTGATGGCTTTTTTTTTTTTTTTTTTTTTTTG